AACATGCCAAAGCACGAGGATGGCCAATATCATCACCTAGACCGTCTCAGATCGAGTCCTCCAAATGGAGGCTGAGTTGAATCTCATGACCGATAAGAACACAAGGCGCTACAGTTTTTTCAACGCATGTTTCTTGAAGATCTTTCTTCTTCCACAGGTCTGCAAAGTTGACTCCGCCGAACGAGAATTTTCCAAGCTGGCCATCACTAGCAGACAGCGCATACCGGCAATGGTTACAAATCACGCTCGTCCTGATAGTGAGTTACTCTTTGCGTCGTGACATCACCCTGCATTAATGACATCTTGTTAGCTATGGGGAGAAAGGAAAAGCGATAATCCCTGCGATATTTCCATGTTCGACCATGAACAGATTTCCAACGAGGCCTTCGCTCCCCTTGACTTCAAGGTCTATATCGAATACTACCTCATACCTTGGGTCGCTATTCACTTAAATATCGAAGGACCTTGAATGCAGTCTAGAAGAGGCATATGAAGATGATTGCTAGCGCTGATTCAGGTTTTTTCTTTGCATCCAATGACCGAAGAAGACTCACGCATTGAAAGAATTACATGCCAACACTGTGTAATGGCTGCCGAGAACGGGTTGAGAAGGTCGAGCACTTCCGCAAGGAGATGAATGATGAAATCGAGAGGGAAGGAGGAACAGAGGATGCATGACGATTTAGCTGCAAAGATTGCTGCCAATGTGTAGTATCATGTTTTGCGTTCGGTCATGGGCTCAAATGATCATCTAGCAGTGCGCACGCAAGTGGTATGTCCTTTCTCGATGCTTACACTGACATTGTCTTGTTCACTTTAGCTCATATTCGTGTCATTAACATTAGCCTGTTGCTTCCAAATCGCAACCAACAGCGGGTCCTTCAAAATTTCCTGGATCATATGATGATGCAGCATATGAAGACGACGACGAATCAGAGCTCTCTGAACTGGTGCGCTCTTGAACTTTATTTCACACCAACTTTCCCCTTGAATTCCTTCCTCGCTTAGCCCCCCCTTGGCAGCACTATGCTCGTGTTCCCGCGGTCTGTTAGACCCGCTTTCTATGTGATGGGAAAGCAGTCTGTGAGACCACCCTCTCCAGAGGGTCTCCCACTCTATTCCGCCAGAGGTTTCAGAGTATCCTCCAGGACCTCGCAATGAAGACCTCCATACTGGTTGGAGGGCTGTCTTACATTGCAATGGAGGGTCATGTGTGAAGTTCGGGAGGTTCGGGAGGCCTCTAGCTTTCGTCGAGGGTCTCTGACAGTCTCTGACATTCCTTATGTTATTTGATCCTTTGGTGCCTACTATGTTATTTTTATTCAAGTCATATGTTATTTCAATTATCTCGTACTTTCTTCATGTTTTAATCTACTTGTTGTGATGTTCTGATTAACGGAAACATCAGATCCGGGCAAGCATATTAATGATCTCGGAGGCAACAGCAGGCTTGGAGGAGCCGCTATACTGATATTGACAAAAACGAGTTACAAAGATATCAATGTAGGTGGGGTAGGGTATACACGCGGGTACGAGACAGGGCCAATGAGACTAAACAGACGACGAATGCAGGCACGAGCGACACATGATGCGAAAAGAGCAGATCAACTAAAAACGTCCAAAAACACTTGAGCAGCGAATGTAGGCATGAGCGGCACATGAGGTGAAAAGAGAAAATCAACGACAAACATCACAAAACGCTTGAGGAGCAAGGAGGACATTAAGTAGCGGGAGGAGGCCTTGGGGGATTGGGCAGATCGCGACGGAATGCTCGTGGTATAGCATCATAGTCCAAATGAGCACCTTCATCCCATCTCGAATCCTGAAATCTCCTACCGGGGCCTTGAGGGTATCCTTCCTCGCGGTAACTCCCTCCACCAACTCGACGACTATGATAGGGAGATAGTGATTGCCCACGCTCATCGAGGTCATTGTGCCGGGACCTGTATCCACCTTCATGAGTATAGCCTAAGTCACCCCCAGGACCGTACCGGGTCGGGTAGGCACGTTCGCGCTCACTAGGACCATAGTTACCATGAAAATCGGACACAGGTGAGCTGTCTCGAGTATTCAAGTCACTTTCCATACGAATATCGCCAGATCCATAAGGATCTTGAGGTGGACCATAGCGGGGATTGCGATGGTAGAATGCGTCACGGGGGTGAAGAGTGCCACGGTCGAGGCCACGCGCAGGTTCATGGGAGTACCCTCGGGTGTAAGGATAACGAGGATCAACATCCCAAGGATTGCGAAGGCCATCACGAGGGTCACGTACGGCCTCATGATGGTTGCGTGTAGGGTCGCGAACAGCACTTCGAGCATCTTCATGAGGTTCACGACCATCTCGAGGGTGACGGGGAGGCTCACGACCATCTCGAGGGTCACGGAGAGGCTCATGATCATCTCGAGGGTCACGGACAAGGTCGCGTGGAGGGTCGTGATCATCTCGAGGGTCACGGACAAGGTCGCGTGGAGCGCGTGGAGGGTCATGATCATCTCGAGGGTCACGGACAAGGTCGCGTGGAGGGTCATGGAGAGCGTTGCGCAGTGGGCTGTCACGAGGGGCATCATGGGGGAGGTTATCATGTGGACGCTCGTCCTGAGTCTTGTGAGGAGTGAGGGGACGAGGGTGGTTGGAGTCACGAAGAGGCTGCTGGTCGGGAATATTGGGGGCCGCTGCATTCAATGGGGCGGTTGGGGGTAGTTCTTCCTTATCTCCTACTACTTCATCCTTCGTCTGTGCAGACTTCTCCTCCAAAGGATCAGACTGGATGTTAGCTGAACCAGTGGCTTCGGGGATGACGCCCGTTGTGGTTGCAGAATTAGCCTTCACGCTGTTGTCGACGTCAGACTCAGAGTCCGAGTTCCCGTACACCATACGCAGGCCACGATTCATCACCACCCGAGAGCCCTTGGTGACTGGGCGTGGTTTAACATGTTCTAGAGCATGTAAATTAAATCACTTGAATCAATGAAGTTAAGAATGAAATGTACCCTTTTTAGACTCATCAGAAGGTCCGTCTCGAAGGCGCATTGCTTTACCAGCATTAACTATCAAGCTTTCAGCAAACAGTAAGGCGGATGCACATGGTACTCACTATGTTCTGGTGATGGAGGTCCATCGGTCGACGATCCCACTGTTAATGGGGATAGTGGACCGCCTTTCGCAGGGAAAGTAGTTGAGGTTGGCAAGGGAGGCGGAGGTGCCTTGGATTGCACATTATTCTTACCTCGCCCAACTTTCTTCCCCACTTTTGAAGCGTTAGTCTTTTCAATCGACGGGGCAATCTTCTTTGACGCACGCGATGTATTCGCGGACTTGAGCTTCCTCTTCTTTCCACGTCCTGCTTCTTCATACTCAGAGTCGGGCTCTCCCACAGGATTCTCTTCGGTAGACGTAACTTCGATAACCTCACTCGGAGTTCCAGATGGCATGGGAACGGCTTTGGAAGGACGCGGCAGTGGTAAAGGAAGTCGAACAACCTTGAAAGGGCGTGAGGGTGGAGGTACAACTTCGACTCGCATTTTGTAGTTAGGCTTTCGCACGTTCACTTGAGGTAGGGGCTCGAGCGCAGAAGTTCCAACTGCATCATTGACACTTACACCCTCCAATGATTCATCATCAGAGGGTTCATCTTCGGAGGGTGGTATAGGGTGCTTGGGTGCTTTAAACACCCTTCTTGACCTTCGTAGTTGCTGTGCTGGGCTTGAGGCGACGAAGACCATTGTGATCAGTATGGCCGTCAAGGAACAACCGTCGCGCGCCATGATGGGGCCATTCAGAAGGAGGTGCCTCGCCCTCGATTATGGGCTTCTCTGAAGCTATTGCAGCCGCTATATATCGTGTAAGTATGACATTGTTACCCATAATATGATACGTACCTCGATCGTCGTCGGGGAAATTTGATGATGCGCATAGTGCCTGCCTTCAACGAATCGACAAGCGCAGCGATCTCCTTATACATCAGCGCCCCAATGCCTTTGTTTAATGCATGTTTACTGTGAGCTTCACCGGGAAATAGGCACTTGTGTGCAGGATATCCTTGGATGCTGAGATTGGCTTCCACGAGTGCGGCTGGCATGAGCTTCCAAGGGAAAATCTTTCCGCCGTGTATTTTGCAGCCAAATTTGGCTGGTGCGATGCAGGATATATCAGTCTAAATGAAGATGAGTGGCAATGGTCGCACATACCAGCTTGCCTGGTGATTTCCTGCTTCACGAATTTCAAGTTATCCTCCCGTCCTCCCTCCACAACATCAGAAGCCTGGTCTATGTCGTGGGTAACGGTCGGTGTCTGTTTTTGATGGCTATCGTCCCCGGTTTCTGGAAAGGCATCATCAACTGCAGATAGCGATGTGGTGTTACTGGTTAGGGCTATGTAAGCATCATGTAGCATGAACATAAATGTACTTACTACACGTGGGCCTTTAAATGACCGATGATCATGTCATCGCTGGCACGGCATCGCATTTCCCCAGAACTACGAGTTACTGAGTACATGTTGACGTTGAAGGTGAAAATGAGCTTACCCCACCAGCACCAGGTGTGTTGTAAGAATGACCAAGCGAACCGTCTTCATTAACCACTTTACCACATAATACAAACGGCTGCTTCAAATCCAAATCTAGCGGAGCCGGACTCGAGCTATAACATATGTTAGACAATGTTGTCACTTCGGCAGAGATTACGCACGATGCTCGTCACACTCCGATAGTGTTTTTGGAATGCTTGTCCGCGCTGGGCAATAGTTTGGGGAGACGAGCTCAGGAGAGCTACTTCCTCATGCTTCGATAGGATGTCTTGATAGGTGTCGGGAAAGGTGTCCTTGAATTTCTCGTAGCATTTTCTTCTTCGCAATGTTGCACCTATGAAGAATATAAGCATGCAGCATCATGCCGTAGTTTCATATGAACTTACTAGGTGTCCCACTGCCTTCTGATTTCTCTTTTTCACAGCGGCCGAGCTCCTCCTGCAAGTGGTCCTTGAAGTAATTGGCGTACAGATTCCAGTAATTAGTGCCGTTCACACTGCGTCCTCGAGACTTCAGGTATAAATTGATTAGTTGAGTCATGGGGGAGGGCGGTGGACGCTGCAAGCTCAAGAAAGTGACGCTCAATGCCCACAAACCCAGTGTCGAGTGCTGCGTTCATATCTGCTGACCTGCGGCCAGTTACCGCTTGATCCTCCTGGTGCATTCTCGGCTCACTCTCTTCAGGGAACCGAACGCGGTAGGTGGTGGCCGGAGAATAGTGACCTAGGTCCAACTTTGGACTAGGATCTCTTGTCGAGGCAAGGAGTGCATTATCAGTGGAAGCAGAGGCACCAGGAGTCTTACCGCCACCATCCTTGAGTGGTGTTGGCGGGATGATGTTTGTGGCTGGAATAGGATGGGCATGATCTTGAGGCGGTACATATGGTGCAGGATGCAGGGTGAATGGTGAGTTCTGCATCAATCCCGAAGACGGTTGGCCTGCTGGATCCAGCGAACATCCGCGAGACATGAGAGGCTGACCAGATGAACTGGCGGGAAAATGAAAAGGCGTGTGTGAAGGCAGAGGTGCAAGGTGGGTTGTGTTCTGCGCATTGGTAGTTTTACCGTCTTGCACGTTGGTCACAGACGGTGCAGGCCACAGCGACTTGTCGCCCCGCTCCAGCCATGCCTAGAGCTTGATCTCCGAGTAATCCAGCCGTGAAAGTATCAGGCTGCATCATTCCGAAATCACCAGATGGGTTTTGCTGCATCCAAGGAGACTGCTGGTCCATAGGGCCGTAAAACAAATCCTGCAGTTGTGCAGGACCTTGTAGTGGAGGAAAGGGTGAGTTGTGCCGACTGTAAGCCACGTTCAGCGTAAGCGATGACGTATCGCTTGTTGAAGTTGAAGCACCGTCCTGCACCACGTGGTGGAATGGACCAACGGAAAGCTGAACGTCGTTAGAGGTATTTTGATAGGCCTGGCGTCGGGCAGAGGCGTCCTTGACAATACCGACGTCCCGCACTGTGGCCTTGAGTCTGGTCCTCAGCCGTGAGGGAGTCAACTCGGCAGGCGGTGCTTCATATCGACGACCTCCGCCAAACTGTTCCTCAACATAGTCGAAGGATGCAGGGGATGAGCCCATGTAGCTTGGACCAGGAGATGGCTGTTGGTCGACACCAGAAGGCATTTCTGGCTTTTGTTGCGTCATGTCTGCAGTTAAGATGTCAATGACAGAGCAATATTTGGTACGTGGGCATGCGTACCTATATACAACAGGCGATGGCGAGAATATATCGGAGTGAGAAGTTTGAAACCTGATCTCCAGCGCATCGTAAGTATAGACATCATACTGACACAAGAGGGTGTCGCTTACCAGATCGGGGGTATGTTCAACGAGGGTAACGTCGAGGTGGTCTGTCTGTTGAGCGGATCGCGTAAAATACTAAAATTGAGGGCAGCATGCGCATAGGCATCATTCCAAGTAGTAACACGAAAGAATGTTGCTTACCAGAACAGAGGGACGTTCAACGAGGGTAACGTTGAGGAGATCTGTTTTTTGGGCGAATTGTACAAGATGCTAAATAAAATTGAGGGGAATACTGGAGGCGAAAGAAAACGTACCCCAAGGGCTCATACTTAAGACGCATAACCACAGCGTTGCTTGGTGGAAGGACCATCGGTTCATTAAGACTAAAAAGAGATAGATGAGCATTGATAGAGAGGCTACATATGAGATACGAATTGATTTTACAAAGGCTCTGTGGAGGGTCAGAGAGCTACACTCACAATATCGTGCCTCTTGCGGCGAGGCTCCAAGGAGGGTTCCGTACAAATCACTAATGGTGTTAACGAGACTCAATCAGATTGAAAATAAAACTAGTACTGAGTTTGAAACGTACTAATGGAGTCACAGACTCACAGCCACCCAACGTACTGCCAACTGATGCGGAAACAATGGTAAGATGTAGGTGAGAGTGCGGTGGTTGAACGAAACTTACTTACAAATAGCCGTCATCCCACCAACGCAATCAGACGAGCAAATTTTCCTTTTTGGTCAGACCGCGTGAAAAATTTGGCCAGCGGCGAGCGCCCAGCGCCCTCACTTAATTACTCCCGCAAACAGCCTCATGCATGCTGCATCTGTGATTAATCATCGAAGGCCATGCATGATCTTATCTGCGATAGTTGCGTACCACGACCTCTCGCTTCGTGAGCATCGAGTCTTTGCGGATGCCCTCAAGAACAACCTGCTCACCATCAAGACCATCACCAAACAAGGTGCCCTCGCAAATCTTGTGGCCTCCCGCAGCCGTGTCATCATCGAGGAAGCACCTGCACCTCATTCCGACCACACCCATGGGTGGCGCTGGTATGCGAATGGTCGATGTGATCGGCTGGGTCTTCCTCGCCTCAAAGTCAACCACAGCTCTCCTGAGACATCTCCTGGGTCATCTCCTGAGCCACCTTCTGCACAATGTCCAGCTCCTGGGCCATTGTCTTGTGGACGAAATCCTGCATCATCTCTTGCATGGTGCCGGCCTGCTCGTGGGCCGCTATCTGGTGCACGCGCTCCTGTAGTGGCTCACGCAATGTGTCACCGGCAGAAACTCAAGATGTTCGTTGAGGTCCCACTCCCCCCACCCTCCTGGAGGTCGAGTTTCAATCCAGGACGAGACCTGTCACTGGTAGGTAGCGTCCAGGAGCTCATTCCGCAGATAACCTGCATTGGGCAAGGTTCGCAGAGTTCTGATGGGACTGCTCGTGGGGAAGATGAAGCCGAGGCAGAGGTGGATGAGCTTCTGGCGTCCCTTTGAAGTAAAGTGGGGCTGAGAGATGTCACGCTTGGGGTTATGTAGTGCTAGAATCTTCTTTTTGCCATTGCTCACTTGTTTGGATTTTGATACGTACATTGTGAGCGGTGTCGTTTAAGACATGGAGGTATAAAAGAAGATTGAACGTTTGAACCGTGCTAAGATCCTTCATAAACATGAGGCAATTGTGAGCCAATGAGATTGAAGATACCAATAGTGCTGAACTTGAAAGACATATGTAGAGGCATTGACCACTTATCACGCTGTCTGGACTAGCCTCGTCGACGCTAGCAACACGCCCCATCATGCTCATACAAAGATTTTGACAAGAACTTCATTGTGGATGGCCATATCACATTTCAACAGGTAACTAGGTGGTACAGCAGCGAGATGTTCATATCAACTTTGGTTGACTTTGACTATTTGTCCAATCACTAACCTCACCATGGGCCGCCGAGCTAAGTACCTCACATCGGAAGAAAAACTAGCAGCTGCTCGTCAACATACGGAATCATATTTACAGTCAAAACGGTAGGTATCATTCAGTGACTTGTTATTGCAACGTTGTTGATATGTTTGGCAGAGGCAAGATCATTCGACAGGCTCAGAATGCTCGTGCCTACGCCAAACGTCATGGTCGACGCGGACCTCATACAACTCCTAGGGCCCTGCACAACCCTCTACCGTCTTCAATCTCACAGTTTGCCAATCCTCCTCTTCCCAAATCATTTCTCTTTCACCAATCGCTCCATGGTTCTGACTTGATCGATGTTTCGGATCTCTCCCAGTGGGATAAAGCCCCGCCTTACAATTCTCTGCCTCCACCCGACTCACCCGAAGAACAGCGTTTTACACAGAATCTCTTTGACGTGATGCACGGACATAATTTGCGTGTGGATAGGGAATCTCGCGCTCATCGTCAAGCTGTGTATGATGCAGGAGGGGCGTCTGAAGTTTTGGAGGAGCTTCGAGACGCACAGAAGAGGTTGCTTGCAGGCTGGGATGACCTGAATGCTCGTATCGCTAACAACCTACAGGTATGTGGAAGACACAAGCTTATGGCTGAGTGCTACCGCCATGGTGTCGCGCGGAGGATCTTAACTTACCAGAGGGAGGTTGATTTGCTAGTTACTGGGCAGAATCCATATTGTCTTAGTCCATAATACCTGTTATTGTACTACTCTACTTCGAATCATGCCTGTAAACTGGTAATGCAAGAACCATAGTCCGCAGATAGTATCGTAGATCGTCCATGTCCTGCTCTCGTACTCCTGTAATATGTTTGCCGCGTACAATAGCAAAAATTGTCGCCAAAACCCATACACCACAGTCGAAATCATTGTTCTGAAGACGTTGGACCTAAAACAACACGAAGTGGTCGGCAAAGTTGTGAAAAATGGAGGATGAAACTCACGTTCAAAGGTCGAGCAACCCAGCCTTCAAGGTCAATATTAACACGATATTCGTGTTGGCGCGCAATAGCAAGGAACCGAACAATTAATCTCATTATATCCTTTCATTAAGATCCGATCAGTCAAACGCAAACGCATGATTTAAATTGAACCCACTTCGACGTCCTTTTGCCAAGGCTGCCTGTCACCTAGGCTATCAAAAAGATGAAGTTCTTTTGTGGACAGCCGGATGACACATAGCACCCAGTGCCCAATGCCCGACGGACGATGAATAGGAAGTACCCATATATCCTTTTCCCAATAACGAACCCATGATGTATTGCGCCAAATGACATTGTCTGGCGCATTGTAACGAATACGGGGAAGATCGTGGGTTGAGAGGATGGCGCATTGTGCACCCGATGTCCTGAGTTGAGAGTGCCAGAGAAGTATGGCACAACTGTTGATGCATACATCATTCAGGCGTGCTGTAGGAGAACTAAGGAAACCGATGTCCCTAGGGTCAAATATCTGATACGGGATTCCATCCGAGCTAGGTTGTACTCGGGAGACAATTTTGCCTGATATGAGAATGCCGCGCTCACGCAATGGAACATTAAAATCATCCGCAAGAAGATTCTAGTATGATACATCAGTGCCGTATTCCTGACAGTAAATGTCAACCCACCTCAGGAAGTTCCCAATGAATGACGGCAGTAGCTTCGCGCACATGATCAGTTGAGTCATCATCATCATCATCCCACTCTACCGTGCCTATCTGACCCTCCAGAACGTCAGCAAGCGCTGTTTGTTCAGAATCAATGGGAGGAGGATGGTCAGGATCAGCAATGGAAAATTCATCCCCACCCTCGAGATCTGGCACTGCAGGTATGCCAGCATTGATGGCAAGAAGTGTCGTGCTGCGCGAGGTTCCCGAGAGGGTGGTAGCTACCTCCAGTGCATTGTTGACTAGGCTAGCGAAGCATGCCGGAGAAGCTAAGGAATTGGACCATCGAGATTGAAGTCGGACAAAATTAGCATGCCGTTGCTGTAATGGGACAGCAAACGGTTCATCTAAGTTAGATTACACATCAGCAAAAAGTTGCTAGAAGAATAGAATCCACTCCCTTTCTGGCAACCGAAGAGCGAGTTCGAGCGCTGCCAGCTCATCACCAAAGAAACGACAAAGATTATCAGCCTCAATGCTGAGGCGGATATGTTCTTCTTCACATCGATCCCGTTTGAGGAGTGCACGTATACCGTCCCTGATGCGTGAGTCCTCCAACCATCGGGGAACTTCTCCTACCGATGGTGTAATCCATACATCTTCCATTAATTTAGGGTCGTTGCGTAGTTCCGTAAGTTTCGTTGGAAGAGGGGAAGGCAGGGGAATCCCCCAACTCGGTTCGTAAAGGGAAGCTAACCGTTCACAGTAGGAGTTGAATTTTCGAATAGCGGTCATGAGGGCAGGTTGGCGCTTTGCTATAGCTTTGCGCGTATGCTGATGGAGCTTAGTGCCTGTAGGTAATTAAACAAAGTATACCACTGTAATTAACAATGGGGTTCGAACTCACCTAGAGCTTGTTGGGCGCCTCCAACGGCGCGGTCAAGTTTGTCCCACTCGAAGAAGCTTGCAACGGCACGTTTGCGAACATTAATTTTGAGGTCCCGCGCCATTAAAAGGGTACGAACAAAATCAAGATTGACCCCTTGAAGTTCAGGGAACCGATCATGAACGTTTAGAGATGAGTAAAGAGCCTCAACTTTGTCCATTAGCCGACTATGTCCCCTCTCCAGGCTCAGCAGAGCTTCGAATGTATCGTCAGAGGCCGATTCTTTTTCTAGCATTACTCTGGTAGTCTGTAGTGCTCTGTCCGATGCATCGAGATCTGCCTGGAGGGCCAACACGGTGTCCAGCTCTTTCTTGAGGCGAGATGGAGCGTCTTGGAGGACCGTTTATCAATACTAATGCACTATAATAAAATGAACTCACGAGCACGTATGGATAACTGTGAATGCCGTTGGTGGGACCACTGAGACCGTAACTCGTCGATAGGGATTTCGCATCGGTCTAGTACATCTTGTGCTGCAGACCCTTGTTCTTTGATGCCACGTCTAAGGCGACGTTTGATCCAATCACCGAGATCAGCGCGCATTTCGGACCCTATGGCTGCGGCTTGCCGATCAATCAGCCAGAGGCGACGTTGACGCTAAAGAAGGTTTCGCGTGAATAGGGTTATAATGAAATTGAGGCGGGACGCACGGAAGAGGTCCTCTCAATACCAATCAGGCGAACAAAGCGCGACCAAAGACGCTCGGTCCCCTTCCCCGTCGGACAGGCCAAGCCAACGCACATTCGTGGGTTATAAATGAGCTGACATGCCCACTCATGGCCGTAGGCATGCATTGCAGTCGTCGCAAAACGAAGTCGTGTGGTGATACTTTCAGGAAGGATATCATACTGGAGAGGTGTGAGCGAGCAATCTAAACGTTAGTGATAGCATACTTTTGCGAGGGATCGCGCCAGAACACATCCAACGTCATATAAAGCAACAACTGTTGCCTGGTGCGGGAGTAATGAAAACAAGTGTTGGAGGAGGGCTACAGAGTATTTCTGTTGTTCTCCAGGAGAATCGATGTTAGCGAAAAACAACGGGATATCATGGCGACAAATTAATGCCATAATACCTGTGTCATCGAAGTTATCCATCGCGGTCTTCTGCTTCTTGCCGTCAGCAGCCTCATAAGAAGTTTCACATTGGTCCACAGCCTCGTCAGGGATGAGGGAAGCATAAGTTCTTGGAGGATGCTTATGTAGGGCGTCTATCCGGCGGCCGATACCATCAACGAAGGTTTTTGGGATAAAGTATGTAGGGTCATAGAAGGGTGGACAATCGCCAGCTGCGCGTCGGTGGCGGTGATGGAAATTCCCATCCGTTGCAACATGAATATCGCCTCCATCGTCTGGGGATCTACCATAAAGTATGCCCCCGAAACAAGCAGGGCATCTTTGAACCAGAAGGGGCGCGCATCGACCTGGATGTAGGGTAGGAGAATGAATTTCAGGGACGTCAGATGTTGCTTGCAAGGTCATGATGCGGTCCCGGCTTTGTTGGAGAAGGGTCTCGAGTTGTTGTTCGACTTGGACTTGCAGTATGTCAAACCACTGGACAGCATAGCCGAGACCTCTGCGAAACGGGTCCTGGATAAGTCCGCCCTTCCAAAGCATGTTAGTAGTAATTTAAATACACAATTGAAACTTACTTGTGCGTCTGTCATCTGAAATCCCCGTCGAGAATAATGAGTCTTTAATGCTGATGCGAGAGCATTAATTGCATCACATGAACGCTCAAACAATGTGCGATAGAATGAAAGTAGATCCACAGACACAGCCATCCGAGGCTGTGATGGAGCGGTTGGGAATAGACCATGGTGGACCAGAACCTGCGGGAGACTGGAGCACGCGCAACTTAGTACATCTATAGATTCAAATCCTACACAAATGTCAACGCACACCTCCGAGTCTTTGTTGCATAATGATAGGCTTACGATCGAAGAATAAACAAACCAATGTGGTCTGTTTGGGTGAGCACGACGTTGTCTCACATGCAGATATGACTGGGCGGATGATCTCTAGAGTTTTGCCCTGGGTTCGTCCGAAATAGCGAAGTAAATGGTTGACGAGGGTTGGCACAAGTGCCGTCCAGGAATAATACAGTGAGTTGGTTGATTTATCTGGCAAATCCGTCGTTTGACTGGCGTGTCAATTGCCGGGGTGTCAAGACTTGGAGGTTCTAACATTCCGACGTCCTCGGAGTGAAGTGGGTGGGCATCATCAATGTTTATGTGTTGGGCGGTATCATTGCAGTCCCCAGCGTGAGCAAGGTCAGCAGAAAGTACTTGTGGGTCTGATTTTTTCACCTCGCGGCTTCATAAGTTGCTGCATTTCAGCTAGAAGTCGGCGACGCTTCGCCTCCGCACCCGGTATCTTGATCAATGTTTGTGTTTTCCGTTTGTCTCGAGCTTTCCTCGGGCTCACAAAGTGGTGGCCTAGCCCTGAAGATGTGAGCTGAGATTTGCGAGTGGGATGAGGTGTGGAGGACGACATTGTGGAGATAAGAGAAGGACATACCAGTATGAAGAAGTATCAACAAGGCTCCAACGCTAAGTTTGTGGAAAGCACGTGAGGGATGCGCTGGAGGTATGGGTCATATTTCTAGAGGTCTGCGAGAGGTGTCGTGAGAGGGTTTTTAGGTATTTTAGAGGCGCGAAGGGGTTCTGGGAGGGTGGAGCTAGAGGGACGCGAGGGAAGCGAGGTGGGCTAGGAGTAAGTGTTATTAATAGATGGGGGGAGGGTGGGTCTCAGAGACCACTTTCCCATAACATAGAAACCGGGTCTCTTGGACCCTTTATAGGCACCGAGAACTGATGCCTGAGGTGCATGGGCAGTGGGACACGAGGTCCTACAGAACAAGCATTTCCATCGCCGTTGTTTCCGAAATGTGATAATGAGCGCGCGGTTCTCCATCAATATTAACTGTGAGAAGTTCACAAGCTAGGCAATGACGGTCAGGCACATACGTGAGGGAAGTAGAAGATCTTCGAAGACGCACACACTTCGAACCACGCACAGCGTCCAGCCGTTGATTCGTCGAAGCCCGACTACTTACTCGATGATGATCCAGAAATCTACCGCAATCCAAATCGCAAACTGTTGGTCAAGTCTGCTTGATATCAACAAGCACGCATCACGGCGGGCTTCTTTTGGATAAACCTCTCCTACTGGTGCGCAAGGTCTCTATAGGATGCGAAACATAAAATCGACGTTATTGATGGGGCAACTACATGAACGAGATAACAATGGGCGTCCATGTGCGATGGCTCTATTGACGACCATCCGTGTGATAGGCAGTTACACAGCAGACAAAAATAAAGAAGCGGGTCCACCGTGTGGGGTTCTCGGTGATGATAGCGGGTTGTGACGGCGTGCCTGGTCCACCCGATGTGGTAGTACTATTAACAGGAGCAGGAGGTCTTGTGGAGGGCGAGGCGGCGGTAAGTTGAGCTGTGGATGTTGATACCTGGGCTTGGCCTTGAGTTTGAGCTTGGCCTTGCTGCTGTTGTGCTGGTTAAGCCTTGCCACTAGCGGGTCGCGGCCGCGGAGCAACATACAAAGCCTGCACATAAATTGTGGGACTTCAGATATTTTGAAACACAGCTCAAGCAAGACTTACTTGTTTGTCCCGAACTGCAGGAACCTCGACAAGATGAGTATCACAAGGAGAGGTGGTTGTCTGCTGCTGGAGTTGGATTTGAGTATCACAAGGAGAGGTGGTTGTCTGCTGCTGGAGTTGGATTACTTCACCGTGAGAGCGGAAGAAGAGTGAGGCTGGGCTATGCCTGGCTGTCACCTTCCTGGGATAATGTTTTGGAATACTGTCCTTTAACGCTTAGTGTATATCCATCATCAAGCGATTTCTTCAGGTATCGTGTCGATTCTTCTCACCTATAATTATTGGTGTATGCCCATCGCACTGAGATGCAGGAAGTCGGAACGGGTTGGGGCTTAAAGCTTAAACTTCAAGCCTGTATATTGTAGATGGCGACATACTCACAAGGTTCTTAAGTAACTTTCACCACGAAGATATGATGTCGAGTTCGACGAGGTGGCATTGATAAAAGATTGTGAGTAGGAAGATGGGCATTTAGTCTTGCGCACATGAGATCTTGTTCTCTCCCAAAAATACTGCCCCGGACGTAACCCCAGCCTTTCCTTGTCTCCCGTTATCAGAGTCAGACCACGAATAAAAAAAACAAGTGTTCTCTCTTTTGGCCCCTCCGTTCGATTTCACCAACACGCCCATTGGTATTGCGCATGTTTTCACGTGGCTGACTGAACGTTCGATATTAGGATATAATCATGCTTGTGAGCATTGGGCAATGGACCGCTCATTTGAATTTTCAATGGTTGAAGTCTGCAGGGACAAAGGTTGACAACGCAAAACAGAACGTTGATGACTCACAGTGCCATACGCGCGCGCATGACGCGCACGTGATCGACGCGACCACCATGTAGAATACCATAAAAGTCCAATAAAATACATAATCAAGAAGGAACGACCGTCTTCCTTCTACATGGTCTGACTAAGGTAGACTAAATAAAACAGGACGGACTATCGTAAGAATGTTCACAATCTCTTCTAGATTAGGCACTCGTAAAACAGAACTGCAGACGTGGAGACAACGGAGAAGGCTAGTTTACAGGATAGTTCTGACGTCAACTCAAGTGCAAGGAGGTCATGTAAAAACTAACTGAAAAGTGATCTTTAAATGGACGTGATTGATGCAGGAGCGAAAGACTACACCGAATATGAAGACCTGTCCTCAGGCTGTATCTTCATCGACGACCATCAGTATACTGAGCAGATGCACAGCAGACAGAAAGCACGAGATGGGCCAACACCGAGAAGATTCGTGATTTCACGGTTGGTGCACCTGGTTTGGTAGTATTAGGGTCAGGAGCAGGGGGTGCTGTGGACGTCGAGGATGCGGTAGGCTGAGTCTGTGATGCCAATGCTTGAGCTAGGCGATGAGGTTGTTGCTGCTGCGCCTTATCTTGTTCTGGACCCCGAGCGACAAACAACGCCTGTATAGATATCATTGGACTTTGGACACAGGAAATATACCCAAAGAAAACCATACTTGTTTGTCCCGTACTGCAGGTACTTCGACAGCAGGAGGACTGCGACGAGGGAAGAGGGTTCGCTTTTGCCGTTGATGGAGTTCGGTTGCTTCACCATCATTCTTAGAGCTACGAAAGGGGGACAAGAGATGACCAAGGAGTGCACGTGAACTCCAGAACGGTGAAACAGTGTGGGCGTCCAGAGGAATGAGTATGAGTTCCACGCGTCGTGGACTCGGAAGACTGATAATATGGAGGTGAGAATGATTCATCGAAATTCCGATAGACGCACACGAACGCTGTCACGGGCATCATCAAAAAAGCCTCGCGCTAGTCTATGGGCAACGTTGAGGCGGGCTGGACGTCGCGTAGCATCGGTCTAAGATGTCGAAATTATACTAGCTGAAAAGGTAGAGGAACAAGCCACGCACATCCATTAAGAACTTTCCAGCCATGCCCTGCATGGGGGACATTAGCGTCATTTTGCCGGAGATGCATGATACGCTACATACTTTCTTTTTGAGGATCATCTAGAGCGGATATTGTGAGCAAGATAAAGTGGGTGATCGGTGTCTGTGTACACTCACAGACAAGATGTTTCCAAGACCAGCCTCACGGAGAATAGTGTGAATGTCCCACACATACGCATTTTGGTCATGACAACCGGTGACCAGCAACTTTCCATCAGCGGAAAGAGATGCGCTTGACACAACATCTTCGTGCTCGAGGGCTGGTCCGACAGCGAGGTTCGTGTCGAGATTCCAGAGACGCACTGTTTTATCCTGGGATGTACTTGCGAGGAGGCACTCGTTCGGGAACAAGGAGAGGGTATTGATAACATTTTTGTGACCTTCTAGAAGGGCAATCTGTTGTCAAGTGGCGGTGTCGAATATCCTGATCGAGCCATGGTGTAATCCGGAGATAAGTTTCTTTTCGTCCAAAGTCCAGATCAAGCTGAAAACTTGATCGCGCTCCTCTTCGCATTCATGTGTGAAGATCGCCTCGCCTGTTTTTGCATTCCAGATTCTGATTGCAATATGATCGTCGTATCCACCCGTTGCAAATTTTGTCGTGTCAGGTGAGTAGGTCACCACCGTGACAGACTCGTGCCCGGTCTCCATTGGACCTACGGTTTTCTTGGTCTCGACATCCCAAACTCTTGCTAGGCGGCCGTCGGCGGGTCCGACTGCCACTCGCTCGCCGTCTGTACTCCAGCACACTGACCGCACATTTTCCCGGTGTCCTGTCCATTTGACGATAACCTTTCCCGGTGTCTCGACATCTAACAATCTTCCAGACAACGCTATGGCCCACATCGATGATACCAGTTCATACATCTCATCCTCCTCATATTCATATTCCCACTCAATCTCCTCATTCTCTTCGTCTCGCCGTCATCTCCTATCTATGTGCCGTTCTGAAGGTCCCATAATCGAAGCGAGCCGTCCCTTAAACAAGTGATGATCCGCCGTCCATCGTGCAAGTGTGCAACACCTTCTAACAAGCTGGTATGGCCTCGCATTGTCTGGCAAGGCGTGACCGCTGGTGTATGTTGTTTCTCACTGATCGACCTAGACATGTTGGTGCTTCGGGTCTCAGTCCAGCAGATCGTGAACGATGTATTAGCCCATAGGAAGCTTTGAATTGAGACAATTTATCCAGAAAGCCAGAAATTCCTTGTCAGTGACGAGCTATCATCTTCCTTCAGCTCTTGTCAGCAAGAGCACGATGCACTCTGACGAGAAAAACTGCTTAGATGATTTCGGTCCTAACACAGGCTTCAAGGACTATGCTTTCAGGAGTTGCTGCAGTGTTCTTTAAGAAGTGTGAGTCGTGTGATCAGTTTGCCTAGCAGACGAGCCAAGAGTATCATTCACAAGGGGCTCCCTTCAGATGAACTCAGCGCTTTCAATGACCACTCAGAGGCACAGGCTGGGACAGTGGGTTATCTGGTTTGGAGTTGGGAATTAATGCGCCTATTTTATATCGAGGTGCATCACATGCGTTAACGCTATGATACCTTGTATTCATTTGACAGGTTATGTGCTGCGTGGATAAAACGCTCAGCAGACGCTATGTACAATGTACATATTCTTGTATCATTCCCAGGACCGACTTGATTGACAGGGCACTGCCGTGTATCTATTTTCAAACCAATGTGTTCCTTAGCACATGTGCAGGGCAGGGCGATATCCTTGTGCATCACTTAATAGTCAATTCCGCTGTGAGTACTTGACAGTCTTCCCAAAATGCCATATTCTCAATCCGCCGTGCACATATCTATAGCATATAAATAGGACACTGTCGGCATGGCTGTGATGGGTGTAATGTCATAATGTCCTCACATTTCAGTAACTCTGCAGCGTTGATGATATTATCATGGCTCAGGACAGCGACATCGCTGGTTTGCCGTTTCACTTTCGCCTTTGAGCAGGGTTACCTCTGCTGAGGATGGTATGTATAAGGGACTGGTGTCACATCGACTTAGCGCCAAATATTTCGTCCTTACCCTCGATGCCATTACACCGCATTATTGGTGCTTGTTGCGACTTAAGACGAACGTACAGTTTACAAGAATTTTTATGTAGTCTGCTCTGGTTAATTCACACAATACTTTGTTTCGTGACTTCGAGTCTCCACAATTGCTACATATCAAAGTGTCAAGTCGGAGACAACTATGAAACTAATACAAGTATTAAACACTCCTTTTAATGAACGACGGACATGGAAATAATCAGAAGCGATCTCTTAAATTGGATAGGTATTGGGGTATTGATGTGCTAGCGAAAGAAATTTACAATATAATAAGTATTACTAGAAAGAATGAAATATGAGCATAAACTACTCATCCATGTACCGTGTTTTTATTGACGACCATCAATGGGTTCAGCAGATACACAACAGGCAGAAAACAAGAAACGAGTCCACCATGTTGGCTTCCTGATGACTAGAGCGGCTTCTGAGTGTGTGCCTACTGCACCTGACGTGATAGTACTGCCAGCAGGAGGTTGTTTCGAGGTGGCGGCAGACCGGGAGTGTGATGGCAACGCCGGGGCTGTCGCCGTGTCCCAATGTAGTTCTGGCTGCGGAGCAACAAAAAATGCCTTCAGAGATGATTCGACTTCGACATTCGGAAACACAACTTAATAAGTACATACCTGTTTGTCTCTGACTGCAGCAACTTCATTAGAACTAGGATCACAGCGAGGGATGGTAGATGGTTTAGTGTGATGCTGGATGTCGATTTTGTCTGGCTGAGAGCGACTGAAGGACAACGAAATGTGATCAAGGAGTGCACGTGGACTCCCCGAAGGTGTGAGAGGGCGGTGACCAGAGAAACGAGCATGGATATCGCGTGTCACAGACGACTGAAATATAAAAGTGAGAATAAAACTACTAGATTGAAATGCTGATAGGCGCACATGAACACCGTCTCGCGCGTCATCAAAAAAACTCCGTGGTGGTTGAAGAGTGTCCTTGAGCTGGTCTGGAAATCGTCGAGCATCGGACTGGATTTTGGACTTGCATTAACATCTACCAGAAAGGTTGAAAACATGTCACATACATCTATTAACGACTTCCCGACTGCGACCTGCGAGCAGGATATTAGCGTGGTCTTCACCAAAGAGTAATAGGACGCTATAAACCTTCTTTTCGTGTCTATCTCGCAATTTCTAAGAGCGGACATCATCAGGAAGATAGAGTGGGTGATTGTTTTCACTCACATCGGGATGATACAAGAGTTCTTGAAGGCCTGCTTCTTTGAGAATTGCATGGGTATCCCACATGTACGCGCTTTTGTCCCAGCAACCAGTGACTAGCAACTTTCCATCAGCGGAAAAGGCTGCGCATCCCACGCGATTATCGTGCGGGAGGGGTTGACCGACTGGGAGGTTGGTGCCGAGATTCCACAGACGCGCTGTTTCGTCGCACGATACACTCGCAAGTATGCAGTCGTTCCGAGACACGGAGATGGCGTAGACAACGCGAGTGTGGCCTCGGAGGGTTGCGATTTGCTGCCATGTGGCGGTTTCGAAGATCCTAATCGAACCATCGAATGACCCGGAGATAAGCTTCTTTTCATCTGATGTCCAGGCAAAACTGCAAACTGCTTTTGGATCATGATCGAGTGTAGCGAGCAGCTCGCCTGTCTTGACCTCCCAGATTTTGATTGTGCTCTCTTCGAATCCCCCCGTCGACGTCACAATTTTGGTTGAGTCAGGTGAGTATGTTATAGCCCACACCCACTGTTGCCCAGTCTTGATTGGGCCAAGGACAGTTTCTGAATCGCCGCTCTCAAGGGCCCACACTGTTGCCGTCCCGTCCCCATATCCAGTCGCCACTCGCCTACCATCTGGACTCCAGCACACTGCCCGCACGAATCGAGTGTGTCCTGTCCATTTAGCGGTGACCTTCCCCGATTCGACATCCCACAACCTCACTTTCCCATCAAGATATCCACTCCCAACAGTATTACCATTCGGAGATAATGCTATGGCAGTCACTCCGGTCTCAGCATCCTCCTCATCCTCCTCACCATCTCGCCAGTCGTGGCCTATCTGTGTCCCACTCTCTAGGTCCCATAGTCGGAGTGAGCCATCACCAGAACATGTGATGATTCGTTGACCACAACGCAGGTACGCGACACCCTGTACGCCGTGGGTATGGCCTCGCATCTTATGGCGGAGAGCGATAGTTGGCCTTTGTTGCTTCTTACTGATTGCGGAGGGCATGTTCAACCTCCTGCGTCCCGATTAGGAGCAGATCGTGGACAATGTATGCGAGAGCAACTCGCCGTGCTTTTGAATCAGAACGAGCAACCTTGCACTAAGGGAAAGGCTTGCCGAGGAGGCCTATCTTCGACTCTCTTCGGTTTAGGACCACTGCGTGACTGAGTATACGGGAGGTGGCGTTTTTCGAGTTTTTAGAAGATCTCTGCGATGATCCAAATCACTGGTAAGCGAGTGGCCAGCTTTGCCTAGCAGAAGAGCTTAGAGCATCACTCACAAATTGAAACCAACTCACACGGGATGCACACTCCAATCACCAATGCGAGTGGTTGGCGCTGGGGCAGTAGGAGTTGTGGAAGCTTCATAAAAAGTGTTAAGTCTAAGTTTGATTTGAGGCACTGTGCCTTACCCTCGTGTTTGATGCACAGAATTCAGATCAAGTCACCTGTGTACTTGGATCATGGCATGATGGCAGGCTCGGCTAAGATTTGGTCGTAATTTAGAAACTTACGAGATCCCCGCTTCTGCATTTTTCTTTGTCTCTGTTCGCGAGAGTCTGAAATGGTTGGTCTTGGTTCTGCGCAGACACCAGGTCTGTCTGGGGGTGCACGCTCGGCACGGGTGGGGGAGTTTGAAGGTGTCAGTGGCTGACGGCGCCCGACATCCCGCGGATTCCCGCCGCCACCGCCACCATCTGCTCCCTGCCACTCGGTCACACACTGAGCACGGACCATAGACGTCGAATC